TTATTATTATTTATATTTAATCGAAGCTTTTGTTCTTTATGGCACAATTCTTTTTAATGAATGTCAATTCTTGTACCTAATACTGTTATTAAGCTCGTGATTCAAATTGAATTTACAAATTACAATATGGTTTCATTATCACAAAATAATATAATAATTTTTAGTTAACTGTTTCGCTATGAAACAATATAAATTTTTTCTTTATCACAGATGAAGGATAGAAATAATAGATAATTGTTTCTGCTATATATATATATATATATGTATATATATATGTAATAAATGTTATCACTATAGAGAATCAGGTTAGACAACTGTTAATGATATAATTGATATGAAAATTAATATGAAAATTAGAGATATTTTGCATTAGTCTAATAAAATTTTTTATATATCTAATTTATACATATAATTGTATATTTTACTTAAAAAAAAGACAAAAATATCATAGGAACATTTTTGACCTAATATGTATGTATCTTTATAATATCTCTACATAATTATTGAATATTATTGCAAGTGTGATAATAATATTCTCTAAATTATATAACATTTTTTATATTATATAAATACTATATTATCTATAAAACTTTCATTAATTATTATAGATTGTATAAAACTTTTAAATTAATATTTTTTAACTTTTCAATAATAAAATATATAATTAATAAATATCATTTTAATATTTTATAAAATAATAGAAAATATTTTATAGTATTAGTAAAGAAATATTAATTAACAATTCACAATTTATATCATTGGATTTCGAATGAATATATGTATATCAAATCAGGGCTGCCACTGTCATACATTTAATCTATAAATAACAGCTCATCATTCTGTACTGAATTTACTTAATGAAATCCAGGAGAAGTATGATAATTTGTGACGATGTTGAATTAAGGCAAGTATTTACGCTGTAATCTTATTTGGATTCTTCGAAATATTCTTTTTAAATCATTGGTTTATCGTCGAATAAAACATGTTAAGACAAAGCACTAAATTTGATCAATAATTTATGCATAAAATAACATTCATTAAGCATATAAAATACAGAATGAAGATCTACTCGAATCTAAGAATGAAAATAGAGTTCTCATATGTTTAACAAGAAAATAATCAAAGACGAGCGAAATCGGAGAGGCTCGTAGCCGTGTAATCGAATCCTTAGCAGCGAAATCTTAAATCCTAGTCCTTTATCTTATTTCCAGTTTCCGCGAACTGTACAGCCCACCCGTTACATACTTAATGAACGTGACTCATATCTCTTTAGTTATGACGAGAGTAGGGGAATAATTCTAGACAATAAAGCTGTTTAATGATGCCACTCTACGGGAGTTTAAACCATACGCTTGGAATAACGCGCGTTTTGCGATCTTTACGATTCTAACTTGTTATAATATTCAATATGATTAATTTTATATTTATAATTTAATTATTATTTTATTTTTCCATAATGTATTACGATATATATGTATATATAAATATATATTTCATATATGTATAATTAATATATATAATTAAGCAGTTATTAAAAATATAAATAAAATGAGAGAAAAATAATTCTTTTTGCAAAAAAAAAAATAAATAAATAAAAAAAATAATGAAATGAAACAAATAAACGAATCTTTTTTGTATTTATACGACACGTAAAAAGAGAAATATTTCTTTTCCAGAGAATATTATTACCAAGAAAAAGTTAAATTTTAAATTATGTCGTTATTATGTAGTCGAGCTTTGATGTTGTAAATCTTGTATAAAAAAATGTAAAGCTCTCCCGTGATCTTCATTTTTTTAAGTATGAAAATAAATTTTACGATCAATAAATTTTACGATCATAAATAATATTTAAGTGACATGATAAAATATCTAACAAATATCTAAAAATAATAAAAGTATTGGATTTTTGGAAACATTATTGTTTTTTCGAAACATTATTATCAATGATAACATATTGTTATTGGTAAATGATAATAAACTTGTATGCTTTGCTGAAAACTGTTTAATTCTTTTCTATTTTCTTCCATTAATTCGCAAAAGCGTCAACGTGCTTTCATAGCAACCGAATCGAGACAAAGACTTAGCTTCAACGATTATTCAGAAATCATGACTCAAATCCACATATGTAGACGCTGTATCTATATATTTATTCAGTTTTTTTTTGCGATTGTGCTTGCAGCTGTGTAAAAAAAAAAAAAAAAAA